GGGAAGAGTAGCTGAGATCACAGTGGACATCATGGTTTTAATCGTGTCATTTGATGTGTTGAAGAAGTCTGGCTTCAGTAGATTCTCCATTGTGTTATAACTCATGAAAGCCACAGCAGCTGATCCTGTGTGATAGAAACAGAAGCTTACGTGCAATACTACAACAATTACGACAACAATCAATGTATTATTATTATTATTATTTAAATCAAACTAAAACATTTCACATACTTTCAACGTTGTTCTTGGCGATCCCAATAAGATCAATGTCCACAGAAGAATTTGTCGTGTCAAGTCGAGGGATTTTATCTAAGGTGACCTGTGGTCCAATCATGAAGACTTCAACCTCTGATTAAAAAAATACAGTTATGTTAAAGGTAGGCCTACACTATGTAACATTTGCCTCTCTCATGGTCAAAACAAAACTCCATGCTTTTTGTTTTTCAATACACAACCCACACACATAAAAGATTTCTCGAGATATAAAACTGACTTCCAGGCACAGCTGAAATAAAAAATACATTACATATGTGAAGATCTCAGCAGAAGAGGTTTAAACAACTCCACAAACAGCATTACCAGCTTAACTTATTACTAACCAGACTGACTTTATTTCTGTCAGACTTCTACAGAATTTTATTGAGAAAAACAGAGGTTTAACTCAAGGCTATGTCATGATGATTAGAAATCCATCAACAGGAAATCATCATCACCTTATCTCATTCCACTTTAGCTTTCTTTGCTGAAGCAAATGTTTTACACACATTGTCACGGGAGGCAAAAAAATAAATAAATAAAATAAAATAATGTACACATACAATAGGAGTTAAGACCCCAACTAATGGAAACACTAATCACTGTTATGATGATTTAATTAAACAGAGTTAAACCTCTGTTAATTCTCAATAATATTCTGTAGAAGTCAGACAGAAATAAAGTCAGTCTGGTTAGTAATAAGTGAAGCTGGTAATGCTGTTTGTGGAGTTGTTTAATCCTTCAGATTTAATGTCTTTTCTCTTCAGTGGATTTAATCTGTCTGTTTCATCATCATTAATAACAGTTTCTCCACTCACCTACAGCTAAAAGAGTAAAATTGACATGGTAACTTGTGTCTGTCGGCTTCACCAATGTTGAGATGAGTTTCTCACTGGTTTTTAAGATAAGGTTTCCATAGGAGGCGAGTTCAGCCGGGCTGACTGATGATGATGATGCTGATGATGAAGATGACTCTAAAATCTTCCCTGAAGCGTTGAAGGCCCCCGTCAAAATGTTGGTCACAGTCTAATTTATTAATCAGATGAATAGTGTCAAAGTAAATGTCAAGAGAGCAAATAAGACAGCACTGTTTTGTCAATCATAATATTATCTACAGTTTATAACTGACATATTTAATTATATGATTATTTTTCTCTTGAAGACTTACATTTACAGAGAGCACTGGAGATGTGATGTTCTCGATCTGCTCGAGAAGATCTTCGAAACAGTTCTGACTCTGAAATCACAATTGTGAAAGAGGTAAGCTATTTGTTGATTTTGATCATGTTTTTCAATATTAACAGAGAACCAAAAATGTATTGTTACTGCACTGAATGTCACTGTGAAGGTTCAGTGATGTTAGATCAGACACACAACACAAATCTAGCAACAACAAATCAAACAGCACATTCATTTTTCAAATTTCATTGCACTATTCCCTCTGAACTAGTAAACCATTTCCAATCCAAAGTTCCAAATTGACGTAAAAATAAATAAATAAATAAATAAATAAATCACCACTTCCTGAAATCTTGCTTAAACCATCAATAATTAAAACAGAAGCTGCTTCAACAAGAAAATATTGTGGCTCTTTTTCATGCAAAAAAAATTACTCGTTCCTCAAAGGCTCCAAAAAACGCTCCTTTTATTTAGATGTCGGGTGTATGTGATAATGGGTGACAATTGTAACGATCTCAGCCCAGGTTAGGGTATTTATGATCAATAATCATAATTCAAAATAATCAATGGCTTGTCTCTGGGGCTGTACCCACCAGGGTACAGATTTTGTACTTTTATTTTCAGAACTTTTATTTCCTTTATTTCAAGGCTACTCAAACATGTGATGAGTAAAAGTGTACCTTAAATAATTAAGGTATCATTAAAACCTTTAACCAACAACTTTTACAAAAAGAAACAAAATGGCTTAGCAGAGTCTGTCTTGATATTGTACACAGCAAAAACTCCAGTGTTAAACATGGCTCCAGACTCAAGACTGTTAATGGGTAAAATATGAGTGTTAAATTAACATTCAAGAGTGTTAAAATTAATCAGCTAATTAATTTATTAATTGAGTGATGATTGACCATTATTGAAGACACAGAAGGAGAAAATCTATTTTTTTAAGACACTGTTATGGTGATCAGTGTTTGCTTTAGTTGGGCCTCAAACTGTTAACATTAGATTTTGTTTGGCTGTTGTATCCGAGTTATAACTGCCAGATGAACAAAGAGAAACGTAGATCATGTGCTGTTGATTGTGTTTTGGCAATCATAATTTGCCCTGAATCACTGAACTCATTTAAATGTATATTGTTAATTCCAGCATCACTGTGATTCTACAGCATAAAATTCAGAATTTTCTAAAATAAATTCTAAAAAGTTGTTTATATGAAACAAAATCTTTCTTTAAGGTACACAGACATCAATAATCGGTGTATGAATCTCAACAATGGTGACAAACAGAATATGCAAATAGGGAAAGGAAATTACTAAGCCAATACAAATAATAATTAATTCATACCGCAATCCATGAAGGGAGCCATAAATGAGTTTTGATTGGTGGCACCCGGAATGCACCGAAACATGTTTTATTATTGTCACCATTGTTGAGATTCACAGGCTGATTATTGATGACAGTGTTTCTAAACAAAATACAATGTCAAAGTCTTTTGATCAGAACATCTTTGAAGAAATATTTTGGGTTTAATTGAAAACATGTGAAATAATTTAGTGTAGAATCACAGTCTGAGTTAATCAAAAAGGATTGACTTTCTAAATGAGATTTGCGATTCAGATCAAATTATGATTACGTCAAAAAATAACCAACACCATTTGATCATTTTTTCTCTTTGTTCATCTGACAGTTTCAACCGAGATTCAACAGCCAAACAAAATGTAATGTTGACAGTTTAAGAGTCAAGAGCCTAACTAAAGCAAACACTGATCACCATAATGGTGTCTTAAAAAAATATTTTCTCTTTCAGTGAATCTGCTTGTTAACATCAAGTGTCTTCAATAATGGTCAATCATCACTCAATTATTCACTTAATTATCTCATTACCTTTAACGCACTCGGACATAGGAGAGTTCATTTAACACTGGAGTTTTTGCTTTATACCTTAATCTTTAAAAGAAAGGGTACATTTATGTACCTTGAGGTCCAATAATAAGCCCTAGGGGTACATTAGTGTAGATTGTAGCTTGGGGGACAAAAATGGACTCCTACTGTCCCCCCTTTTCTGACAGTGCAGAGGTGGGAAATGTGTGTTCTGGAGCTCCACGGGCCCATAAAAGGTATCGAAAAGTGATCTTATCCCGATATGTCGGCACCATGCTGGTAAACTAGATTGTCACGAGTCCTGATTTACATTCACGAGTTCAGAGTCTAAAAGCTTTGGGTTTTAGAAGGAATGTGCATGACTCATGATTCTTCCAGAGACTACACAATTATAACAAATAATTTTTAGAACAATCATTTTAAAAATGACCAAATCTAAATGGTATGTGATGAAATGTATCTGTCCAGTTATCCAATAATGTAATCTTATGCAATATCCCAAAATTTGCAAAAACACATTGATGGAAACATTGACACTGACAGGATCTATGGGTTCAACTGTAAAACTGTAATTTCAGAAACTCAACTTACGGTGCATCCTTCTTTCAGCATTATATTTATATCTGAAATGACAGAAACCAGCATGAAGACAATAATAAAATACTGCTGCGAATGAAAATTCAGCTGTAATCAGACAAAACTTTAGAAAATAATCTCAGAAAGTTCTATTTATATATTTTCATTCATTTTGAACTGAGTCCAGATCGAGTGGAAGTCTCTTTAAACGGTCTCTTTCTCTAAAAAGTTTCTTACTTTAAACTGTTGTGATGTTGCTCTATTTCATGTATGGACATAAAATCTAAATATTTTCAGTCAGACCAACAAATCTTAAAAGAAATATCTCACTTAATATACAGCTTGTGTGCAGAAATTAATTTTGTTTTATTAAAAAACATGTATGATGTATGCAATGCAATGTTCTGCAACTGCACATTTCAGACACTCTTTATGTAGATACACAATTCCCACATAGCAACATTATTTCGGCCTAGATCCGGCCCACATCTGGCACTTGTGGGATGCGTATCTGGCCCACATGCAGCAATGACTGACGGCCCTTGGGTGGCCCAATTCTGTTTGCCAGATTTGGGCCACAAGCAGGCCATAGCAACGCCACATGTCAGCCAAGAGCAAAGAAATAAACCAGAAGTGGACTTTATCTGAGCCACAAAATCTGTGTATATTAAACATGGAGTCATCTCAACCTTAATAAGCTATAATAAGCTCTATTTTACTGATAACTTAAGCAATGTTAAAATAAATGTTAATGGAATAATTTGAGGAATGTTTCATTTAGATAGAACGTGTTATCTTTCTTAATGCTGTAATGCACCTTTGCGTGAAGTGCAATCGTTCCTGAGCAATCGATGCCAACTAATTCAGCACCTTCACTTGGGACAGCGCCTTTGTAACGTCGAACGTAAGAGGAGCGAGTTAAGAAGCTTCCTAAGGGACACTTCAAGGAACACACGTAGGAACATAAACAACTTTGGTAAGATGTATCTTTTTGAGTCTTCTTACCGCGCTAAGAGTGAGCGTTATCGGGGAATCGGGCCCTGATCTGTAGCCTACATACATTAGAAAACATTCAGGAAATAAGCCAATAGAGACACAGTGTGTTACATTACCAGGTGAGATGGTCACTGGTGTGACAGTTGTAGAGCTGGTGTTAATGCTGCCAGTGTCTGAAAGTTTGGATGAATAATGATTAATCAACAGAAACACAAATATCATGAATGTGTAGAAAGAGCTCATGTGAATATAGGGCTGGGCGATATATCGCATGATATTGTAATGCGCATCTTGTCAGTAAAGCCGGTTCCTTAATTAGTAGTAAATCACCTTCACCTGCTTTCAGATGGAGCGGCATTTACTACAAAGAGCCGTAGATCACTGACAAGCTGAGCCATATCGCATTAATATAGAGGACATATTGCCAACGATAATCAGAGATAGGCAGTATTTGAATTACAAAATACTCAAAAGTAATTAAATAAGTATTTCAAATACATTAATTTGTCATTTGTAATTAAATACTTTGAGGGACTTTAATTTGTATTTGAAACAGGGCTGGGCGATATATCGCATGATATTGTTATGCACATCTCTTCATTAAAGCCGGTTCATTGATTAGTAGTAAATCACCTTCACCTGCTTTCAGATGGACGATATGATGCAGATATGAGTGTTAAAATAACACTCAAGAGTGTTAAAGTTAATGAGATAATTAAGTGATTAATTTAGTGATGATTGAGCATTATTAAAGACACCTGATGATAACAAGCAGAATCACTGAAGGAGAAAATCACAAATTGTAAGCCACCATTATGGAGATCAGTGTTTGCTTTAGTTGGGCTCTTGAACCTTATTTTATTGCCTTCAGATTTTGGTCGGCTGTTGTATCTGAGTTATAACTGCCAGATGAACAAAGAAAAACATTTTCTATTGATGTTGGTTATATTATGACAAACTTTGTTTGAACTTTATGTTTGTGATTTATTCTATTAGAATATATAACTGAATCTACATAAATATAATATAAAGGATTTCTTAAAAGTTGTTAAAAAATCTTCTTTTAGGCACACACTGAAGTCAAGATTTAGTCAATGCTTCTCAACGATGGTGACGAGCAGAATATTCAATTAGGAAAAGTAAATTACATAGACTATACAGATCATAATTTATTCATACCGCAATGCATGATGGGAGTCATTAATGAGTTGTGACTGGTGGCAACAAGGATTATTATTGTCACCATGGTTGAGATTCACAGGCTGATTATTGATGTCTGTGTTTCTGAATAAACTCATCTGAAAGTGATTTGATCAGAACAAGTTTTATTAAATGTTTTGGATTATAAGAAAAATATGGATCATCATATACTGTTTAATCACAAAGCTGTTGTTAACAAGTTCAACCAAATCTGAATAAGTTTCACTTTTCAAATCACAGCATGATTATGTCAAAACATGATTAACACTTATCAGATCACACTTGTCTTAGTTCATTTGACTGTTATAAATCAATAACAGCAGACAAACAAAAAGTAAACGGAAAGCAATAAGGGTCAAGAGTCCAACTAAAGAAAACACTGATCACCATAACTGTGGCTTACAATTTGCGATTTTCTCCTTTAGTGATTCTGCTTGTTAACATCAGGTGTCTTCAATAATGCTCAATCATCACTAAATAAATCACTTAATTATCTCATTAACTTTAACACTCTGGAGTGTTAATTTAACACTCATATCTGCATCATATCTTCCATCTGAAATCAGGTGAAGGTGATTTACTACTTATCAATGAACCGGCATTACTGATTAGATGCGCATAACAATATCGTGCGATATATCGCCCAGCCCTATGTCAATATAATTACCTGCACAGTATGCTGAAGGACAGATAGTTGGTCTGACCAGCTCATAGACATAATAATCTCCTGGACAGGCTTTGACTTTAATGGGAAAAGACCCGATAAGGCAGCAGTAATTGTCAGCTTGACCGCAGACATCTCGAGTGACGACTCCATCTGTTACTGTTGGGTGTCCACCACGGATCCACAGTGCGACATTAGTGCCACAGCTGTACCTCGCAACACACGTGTCTGAGATATGAGCGCTAGTGTTGTTAATGAAGAGACGATACCAGCCGCTCCAGGAGACAGACTGGTCACACATGTAGACTGAAGCATATGTATTATTGATGGCTCTCCATGGATTGTCCAGCTCAGTGTAGTTGTTGCAGGGGTCTGAAAGATTAGATGTAGTGAAAATATATTAAGAAATTAACAAGTTTCTGAAAAACATGTTTTATTACAAAACGTAACCAAAATTGCAGCTTTTTCTTCTTCTTTTGCTAATTCAGAGCGATTCATTTCGATCCACAATATTTTTTCAAATGCACTTATAGTATTATTTAAACATCAAAACATCTTAAAAAAATCCTTTTTATTGGAAGTAAACATGTTACATACCAGTATAATCATTTACATATTATTATTATTATTAATAAAAGATTTTATTTCCATGTTAGAAATGACCTGTGTGACCTGTGTGACCTCTCCTGTGAGTTCTCCTCTGTGTGTGTGTGTGTGTGTGTGTGTGTGTGTGTGTTCTCCGCTTTTTACGTTCACAGAACCAACATTGAATATTTGGAGAACATTCTTGTAACTAAACTTTGTTAGCTAGGAAGCTTTATGGTTTATAATAAAATAGACATTTATTTATATAATGCTGATACACACGCTCAGAGTTGTATAAAGTAGAAGTAGAAAGTAGAAATCCTGCTATGTGTTTATTCAAGCCATGAACAGATTGACAGTTTATTTCAGCTGATTTCTGTCTCCTGGCTGAAAAACTGCTATAATAACCACATCCAGGTGATTGGAACAAAATACTGAGGCGGACTTTTACTTTCTGAACCTGGGGCCTCTTTTTCAAATCATTTGCGTAGATTTCATCCTTAAAGTGTGCGTACGTACATAAGGCAGAATTTGCGTATGCACAAAATTTTTCAGATTTATAAAACCGTTTGTACGCCAGAACCTGCATCCACGTGATACCAAGTTTAACGGTACAAGAGGTTAGTAAAATATGAAATGCGGATGTGCCGTCACATTATTACAAACATATTTTTTTTAGTAGCCTATATCCTTGCCTTGTTTTTGAATGAATATAGGCCTATCAAATAATGTTAAATACATTTCAGAGAGAGTTTTTTATTTCTAATTATTGAATATATTTTCTTTGTAACTTCTCAGTAATGATTTCATGTAGTTTAAGTGTTTAACTTCATTAATGAGAATGTCATATTTAATAAATGTTTATATCAGAAGTAAAACATAGTTTAAATCATTATTTTAGGCTATTTATTTAAACTGTTATAGAGAACATGCACTCTATTTATGATTTGGACTAATAATGAAGATTTACGGTTTTACTGCATCTGCTGTTAGATTATAGGCTATGTGCGTCATTTTCACTAAACGGCCCAACTCGCGTGCTGGTGTGGTCATTTAAGAAGGGATGGATCAAGTGATGATAGGTTTGTGAAATTATATTTGAATTATATTTCTGTAAATGTATAATTTTCTTTAGATTCTCTGTCTAATATTGAGCAAAAAGACATTTGACTCCAGCTCACCATCGGTGTTGCCAAAACACATAGCCTACTCTTCTAAAAGAGTACGTACGCACGGTCAAGAGCATCCTTACGGTGCGCACTTATTTACGCCAAGTTTAGTTTTTATAAATCCCGATATGTGGGTGGAAAAATGCGTACGCCTATTTCTATGCCCATTTTGAGCGTACGCAACGTTTATACATCAGGCCCCTGGACTTTACTCCTCTGAAGAGAACAGAAAAAGAGAAGACACAGTCTTAGATGAAAGAAACTGATGAGAAGACATTAAATCTGAAGATCTCAGCAGAGGAGGATTAAACAACTCCACAAACAGCATTACCAACTTCACTTATTACTAACCAGACTGACTTTATTTCCGTCAGACTTCTACAGAAGATTTTATTGAGAATTAACAGAGGTTTAACTCTGCGTTTCATTTGAAGTCACCATAACAGTGATTAGTGTTTCCATTCGCCAGGCTCTTTACTCGATTATATTTGATCTTTTTTGACCGCTGTGACAGTGTGTTTGTAATTTACAGTAACAAAATTGAATAGGATCAGGTTACCTGGTGATGGTTTTGTAATCATCACAAAAAAGCCTGATTCACTGAGGTATTTGAATTTAATAATTATTCTGACAAATTTATTTTCAAAAAACAAAATCTGTAACTGCATATTGGGATCCAGCAATTTTATAACAATAAGTTAGTAGACTTTAACAAACATGAGAACAAAAAAGGCAATTTATTATGATACACACAGACATCAACAATCAGCGTTTGAATCTCAACAATGGTGACAAAAAGATGACCTCTGGACATAAGCTCATTATTTATTTATATAGCAATGCATGATGGGAGCCATGCATGAGATTTGATTGGTGGCACCCAGAATAAACTGCAAAATGCTTTATAATTGTCACCATTGTTGAGATTCACAGGGTGATTCTTGATGTCTTAAAAAAAACTATGTGATTTAAATTTTCAGAAAAGATTTGGATTACATTGCAAAAGTGAAAAATATTATGATTTTCAAGGACGGTGCTGCTATAACCAATAAAGTAAATTTAACACAGAAATTGAGTTCTACTCAGGTTAAATGATTGCAAAATAATAGTAATGGGATTTATGGCTCTTTGAGGGGATCCGGATCTTGGCGATCCGCTCCTTTCAAAGAGCCGTTCAAAAGAATGGCTCTTTTGGCTCTTTTTAAATATTTAGTATAATCACTGGGAGGAATGAAGTCAAATAATTCAAACTCAGATATCACAAATCAATATCTGAGTTTGAATTATTCTGAAATATTGATTATTACCTCATTTGTCATGTGTGGACTATATTCCATAGGGTTGCACAACATTCCTCTGCTTAGAAAGTGACATCACTATTTTGGATTTACCTTTAGTACAAAGTGTGTGTGTGTGTGTAAAGCTGTTGACTTATGTTACTCATACAAGAACATTTTGATAAAAAACAAAAAATATTTAAAGTTGTAAATATATACTGTAGATACAATAACATGAACATGAACACAAAATGCAATGTAAAGTTTTGGCTCCGCTCCTACCCAATGACATAGGCACGTAGGGTTATACAAGATAATGTAAGAGTCAAAGATGCACGCGCGTGCACAACTATCACCCCTGCGCTGGGTGCGCCCTTTACCCTTTAAATAAGGAGCTAATTTGTGTGCATCTGTGTAAAACACGCATAGGAAAAAAAGAACGACAGAAAAAATGGCTCCCCTCCAGCCGCGACTCGGCTCCCATAGTTCATGTTTATGAGCCGTTCAAAAGAATCGGTTCGTTCACGAACGTCACAACTCTACAAAATAACAATAATAATAATGTTAAAAAACAGCCAACACCATCAAGCACCCTTTTCTCTTTGTTCATCTGGCTGTTGTAACTCAGGGACAGCAGCCAAACAAAAATCTGAAGTGAATGATTTAAGGGTCAAGAGCCCAACTAAAGCAAACACCGATCTCCATAATGGTAACATACCAATTACGTTTTTTTCCTTCAGTGACTCTGCTTGTTAACATCAGTTGTCTTCGATAAGGCTCAATTATCACTCAGTTAATCATCTCATTAACTTTAGCACTGCTTCAGTGTTCATTTAACAGTCTCTGAGTGTGGACTCATAAATAATGAGCAATGTTTTTACAGAAGGCCGTGTCTGAAGTCAGTTGTAGTTCTTGTGTTTCTGCTCATCTCTTTTTCTGTTGTCTTCAGAAGAGTAAAGTCCAGGTTCAGAAAGTAAAAGTCCTAAGTATTTTGTTCCAATCACCTGGATTTGCTTATTAGCGGTTTTTCAGTCAGGAGACAGAAATCAGCTGAAATCAACTGTCAATCAGTTCATGGCTGGAATAAACACATGGTAGGATTTCTACTATTTCTCTACTTCTACTTTATACACCTCTGCACTCGCTAGATAAAATAATGTGTCTGACCCTGAGAAATCCACTGTAGCAATGGATTAACAAAAATAAACTGGAGGAAACAATATGTTGCTACTGTATTTTCTATAGTAAAGTACTGGCAACAACAGCTGATGTTTTTATTGAATTATAGTCATGCAGTGAATATTTTATTCTTCTGACACAAGCACACATCTATCCAATGGTACAGAGCGGTGTTTCCTAAAAGCATCGTAAGCCTTAGTTGATCATAGAGGCCATTGGTGTCCGCTGCTCTGCCATCAACTCAGACTTATGATGATGCTTTTGGGAAATACAGCCCTGATCTGTAGACTACATACATTAGAAAACATTCAGGAAATAAGCCAATAGAGACACAGTGTGTTACATTACCAGGTGAGATGGTCACTGGTGTGACAGTTGTAGGGCTGGTGTTAATGCTGCCAGTGTCTGAAAGTTTGGATGAATAATGATTAATCAACAGAAACACAAATATCATGAATGTGTAGAAAGAGCTCATGTGAATATAATTACCTGCACAGTATGCAAGATTGCAGAAAGTTGGTCTAACCAACTCATAGACATAATAATCTCCTGGACAGGCTTTGACTTTAATGGGAAAAGACCCGTAAAAGCAGCAGAAATTGTTATCGTAACTGCAGACATCTCGAGTGACGACTCCATCTGTTACTTTTGGGTGTCCACCACGGATCCACAGTGCATAATCAGTGCCACATCTACCATGATAAGGAACACACGTGTCTGGGATATGAGCGCTCATGCTGTTAATGAAGAGACGATACCAGCCGCTCCAGGAGACAGGCCGGTCACAGTAGGAGCCAGGTCCATTACTGATGGATCTCCATGTATTGTCCAGCACAGTGTAGTTGTTGCAGGGGTCTGACAGATTAGATGTAGTGAAAATATATTTAGAAATGATCAAGTTTCTGAAAAAAACATCTCGGTTACGTATGTAACCCTCGTTCCCTAAGTACAGGGAACGGAGACGTGTCGTCGGGGAGTTCCCTGACGAATTGGGATCACGCTAGAGAGCCTTATTACCTCTGATAGAATTAAAACGAGCCAATAACAATTTGCATGCAAGCTTTGCATTCTGCGAGCCACCTACAAATGCGGATATAAAAGTAAAGAAGTAAAACATTGCATAGACGCTTTTCGCTGAGGAGCCAAACAGAGTCCAGCCCTCCGCGAAGGTACAGCAACATGGCGAAGGGACGACACGTCTCCGTTCCCTGTACTCAGGGAACGAGGGTTGCATATATAACCGAGACGTTCCCTTTCATCCTGGGAACTCCGACGTGTTGTCGGGGAGTTCCCTGACGAATTGGGATCCCTAATAAAACGCCATGGTGCTGGCCACTTCCAGCGCCCAGCGACGCTACCCACGCAGTTTCAGAAATCATGGTAGCTAGCTAGGGAGTCACACTGCTGTTCCGCAAGACCCAATCAGAGGACATTTGGATAACACTGGGAAAGCGTGCCCAACCCGAAGAAAGGGGAAGGGAACGCTGCAGAAGTCAGCCGCCTGATGAAGGCCTGGAATACACATATGTACTAGCCCAGGGGGTATGGCGAGTCGCCATTCTCCTGGCAGTGGAGGCAACCGTAAAAGCTCGTCTGCCACACGGTTGAGCTCCCCTGGAACATGAGTGGCACAAAGTGACCTCAGATGCTTCTGACTCCATAGGAGGAGGTGGGAGGCGAGTCGCAACATGCAGCGGGAGCGTAGACTACCTTGGCGGTTGATATACGCAACGGTCGCAGTGCTGTCCGTACGGACCAATATGTGCTTGTCTTTGAGAAACCCCTTGAGGTGGCTCAAAGCCAAGCATACTGCTTGAACTCCAGGCAGTTGATATGCCAATGCAGCTGGGGCCCTTGCAGACTGCATGCCCTTTGTACGTGGCCCCCCACCCCATGGCAGAATCATCTTTGAAAACCACAGCATGCCTGGAAACCTGGACTAGGGGCACTCCGGCCCGAATGCAGGATCCGACCATGGGGAGAAGGTTTGGCGACAGTGCGGGGTTACTTTGACCCTGAACGTGCCGCTCTGCCATGCCCACCTCGGGACTCGGATCGTGAAGCCAGAGCTGGAGCGGTCTCATATGTAACAGGCCGAGCGGTGTTACTGCGGCTGCGGCTGCCATATGGCCCAGGAGCCTCTGAAATTGTTTCAGTGGAACCACTGTCCTGCCTCAAAAGGACCTGAGCCAGGTGAGCACTGATTGGACGCATTCCTCCGTGAGGCACGCCGTCTGGGCGACCGAGTCCAACTCCATACCGAGATAAAAGATCCTCTGCACGGGGGAAAGTTTGCTCTTGTCCCAGTTGACCTGAAGCCCCAACCGGCTGAGGTGCCGTAGCACCATGTCCCTGTGATCGCACAACACATATCGCGAGAATGTGCGAATGCCTTGTTCTCTCATGGGAACAACGGCCGCCTCCGCGACTTTTGTGAAGAGTCGGGGTGACGGCCAGCCCGAAGGGTAGGACTTTGTACTGATACGCTCAACCCTCGAACACAAACCGTAGAAACGGTCTGTATCGAGGAAGAATCAAGACGTGAAAGTAAGCGTTCTTTAGGTCGATCGCTACAAACCAGTCCTGAGGACGGATGCACTCGAAAATGCGCTTCTGCGTGAGCATTTTGAACGGGAGTTTGTGCGGGCCCAATTCAAAACTCGCAGGTCCAGGATTGGCCGTAATCCACCGCCTTTCTTGGGTACAATGAAGTAGGTGCTGTAGAACCCGGACCTCATCTCGGCAGGAGGGACCGGCTCGATCGCGTCCTTCGCCAGCAGGACATCGATTGCTTTCCACAGGACAGGGGCGTCCACTGACCACACACGGGTGAAGTGAACGCCCCTGAACCTGGGAGGCCGGCGTGCAAACTGAATTGCATAGCCGAACCGAATGTTGCTGATGAGCCATTGGGACGGACCCGGAAGCGCTAGCCAGGCTTCCAGGTACCGACCCAACGAGCCCATCCAAACCACCAGCGTACCCGCGGAGACGCAGCGAGGTGGAAGGCAAGGGACCCAGCTCCAGTGGCAATGTAGCCACTGGAAGCGGGGTCTGGGTGTGAAGTTCGCCAGCAACCTGCTTCCACCAGGGGGCAGATGGCAGAGGGAGCCCGTTGGCTTTCTGCTGCAGGCCGCCCCGTGGCGAGGGGAGGGGAAGAGATGCAGCACGAGGCCCTGCCTCCTCGTGAGCTGGTCTCCGCCCCTCCGGACCCAGTCGCTGACCGGAGCGACGCAACCGAGGAAGCGTTGCTGCTATCTGCAGACTGGGAAGAGGGGAACGAGAGTGATGCTGCTCGGAGACAGCATCCACTGCCGTTCTGACCCTCTTGGGTGGAGGAGATTGTGTGCCTATCAGTCTCGACCGAAGATGACCCAGTGGAGGAAAAGGAAACTGCTCTTTTATTGAAACTTTTGGGAACAGAAACATAACTGAAAAAAAGATTCTCCGCCCGGCCCTCCCCCGGAGAGGCACCCTCCTGAGCAGCCTCCCATCGCTCCACCAGGTCGCCCCGTCTCAGGAATGCTTCCCTCCCCCCTTTATGGGAGGGGCTTGGGGACGCTTTCTTGCTCCAGGGTTGGTGGTCTGCGCTGGAGGAGCTGGCGCCAAGGGGCGACCTCGGCAACGGGAAGCAGTCGGGGCTTGTACAGCAACAGGAGAAGGGTCTGCCTCCAGTGCAGGACATGCCATATAGCCTCCGACTTTTTCTGGGCGATGGAGAACTCCTGGGCCAAGTTCTCCACCGCGTCGCCGAAGAGGCCGCCTTGGGATATACGGGGAAGTTGAGAAGTTTGTTCTTCTCCGCTTCCTTCATATCTGCCAGGGTCAGCCAAAGTTGGCGCTCCTGGACCACCAACGTGGACATCGCCCGACCCAGCAAACGTGCGGTGACTTTCGTCACTCGGAGAGTCCATCGCCACATGCAGCTCCTGCAGCAGAGCTGGGTCTGTGACCACCCGCCTGCACGTCATCGAGCGCATTTGCCTGGTGTACTTGCAAAAGCGCCATGGCGTGCAGGGCAGAGGTGGCATCCCCACACGCACTGTAGGCATCCCTGGTCAGCCCAGAGGAAAACCTACAGGCACGGGAGGGAGTGAAGGGACACCCCCCCCAGGAGGAAGCGGTTTTCGGACACAGCTGCATCGCGACAGACCACTCCACTGGGGGGATTCCCTCGTACCCATGCGCCGCTCCGCTATCCAGGATGGTGAGGAAGGAGGAGCAAGGTTGTCCCCGTCTGAGTGCCAGTGGCGCCGACCAAGACTTCCTCAACTCCTCATGCACTTCGGGAAAGAAAGGGACTGGAGCAGGCCGTGGGGCAACAGCACGACCCGCTCCGCGACACCAATCATCTAGCTGCGAAGGTTCGGGACCCGGTGGAGGATTCCACGCAAGCCGACATTCGTGGCCGCCCGCTCGAGCATAACCGCCATTTCCGGGTCAGGCTCCACCGACGCCACCACACCCGAAGGGGGCAGCACCGCAGAGTCTTCGCCAGAAGACCGCTCTTCCTCTGATGCTGCGATCGACATGTGATCCTCAGGTGGCGCCGAAAGAGACAACCGGAACCGCCCGAGGGGGCTCCGGCCGCTCGACCGAAAGCGCCGATGGCAGCATGCAACTAGAGGCGTGAGGCGCCTAACAGGATCTTTCACCTGTCGCGTTTCTCAGAGTAATCCTCATCCGCTCACCAACAGGAATCACCGAAGTAGCTGTCTGCAGAACTGAACCGGCAGACGAACTAAATCAGAGATTCTCCATGTTTCAGGGAAATCAGTCTCGAACGTAGCATCGCAAGAGTCATATTCCCACAATGAGAACATGACTCATCCACAAACGCCGCTTCAGCGTGTGCTAAGCCCAGACTTGTGAAGCAGTGTTTGTGGCCATCAGCCTGAGGGAGAAGTCGACAGCATCCAGAAACGCACAGGCGAGTCGACATCCTGAAAAGGACGCGAACACACCGTGGAGCTCTTTCAGTAAAGGAAAATAAAAAAGAAACTGCTGTCCAGTGCCGAAGCGCCGAGGGATCTCCGCTGCAGACACCGCCAGAAACTGCAACCGCGTGCTGCACTTGAGACGAGCGTGCTGCACTTGAGTTTCTTCTCCAGGCTCATTCCAAACTTCAGAACAGCAGGTAAGCTCTGAGAGGCTCCGAAGCAAAAATGCAATGTTTTACTTCCGCTTTTATATCCGCGTTTGTAGGCGGCTCGCGGAATGCAAAGATTTCATGCCAATTGTTATTGGCTCGTTTTTAATTCTATCAGAGGTAATAAGGCTCCTTAGCGTGATATCAATTCGTCAGGGAACTCCCCGACGACACGTCGGAGTTCCCAGGACGAAAGGGAACATGTGGCCGCGCTCCACGTGACGCGCGCACGCAGGACAGCACCTCCAGTCGACACACGGCCCGAACGGGCCGAGCAACGAGCCCGCGACTCACGCAGACCAAATATGCTCAGCAAGTATACCTTCTTTTAGAGCTTCTAAGAAGCATTAAGAAAGTGTTTTCGTGGTGTTCAGAAAGGTTAACTGACTGTTTTGGTGAATGTAACTCTCCCTTTCTCTACAACTCACTCTCTCTTACTCTCTCTCTCTCTCCAACTCACTTACGCGTACCCATTGTCTAAACGCCCTGCGTCATCTTAGTTTATGTTTTAATGTTTGTAAATACATGTATCATTGTAACGTGGTAAATGCTTAAGTAGTTGCTTTATTAAATACAGTTATGCTCATTTTGACTGAATCGTTGTCTTGCTCATAATACTAGTCAATGAAATGTCGTCCAAGAAGCTGCACGCTTTACAGAACTAAACATACCTAAAAGGGTATTTGTTTATAGAGCAGGAAGGCAGATTCTTGTTGCCACAGAATTCGTTTTCACAAACTCTATAACTTAATTGAGCTATTTTATTTTGCCCGGTTGTAAAACGTGGTCCTTGCAATTAATAACAATTAATTTGTGATTAATTGCGGGGATGCACATGTATGCATATGGGCAAAATTAATAAGCCTTACTAAATGGGAGATTTATTAATATGTGAGACTGGTCTGATCCAAATCTGTATGAATAATTATTAATTATCAATTATTAATTATGATATGCAAATTCCCATTTCTTTGATGATTTTCACTTTTGTTTTCGCATGTTTTCTCATCAGCGCCCTCTACAGTTGTGCGGCATATAGATTTTCACAACAAGGTCATAAAAAAACTCACTTGCGGCACCTTACTTCCACTTTCTACCGCTGCTTATGTGCAATTGTTATTTTCGGAGCCGGCCAACTTTTTTGTGTAGAGCTATGTGGCAATTAGACAATTCTATGACAACACAAAGCACTCTGTGTTTCTCGCTTGCTCGATCGTTCTCGCTTCTCACGAGACTTCTATTTTCAACTTACCAGGACGTTGGTTGCAAGGTTGGTTTTCCACCTGGGAATGCTGGGGGGAGCGGGGAAAGTCACCATTCTCTCCAGAACAGGTTATTAAACCATTCAAATGATTTATAAAGGGTTTTATTAAGTGTAAATATTTGCCAAGTGCCCCTTTAATGTGAGCGTGCGTCCAATGATGAAACACTGTTATTCAACCCGAACCTCCTTCGCAAGGACGTAATGTGCAGGACGTTTCACAGTGAATAACTACTCAGTTTGAGGTACATTATGGCGTGTTTCAACTTTAATTCCTCACCATCAGCATTAACAAGTGCATGTTTTTTACTTTTACTAATTTAGTTACAGAGTATTTTTCTAATATATTGCGGTGAATATGTGGAAATTGTATCAATAACAGTGAATGTATGCAGTGTACAGTAGCCGAGCTCTAGAGTGAATGATCTGATGTAACGTAGACGTTGGTAAAACAAATATTTCCTCAAAGTAGTAAGAACGACAGATAATCTGTATTAATAGACACAGTTTTAGATAATAGTGGCCCACAGCTGATCAGTAGAAGTATTTCTGTAAGACAGTGATAACACAAGTTAACCAATCAGCAGGAGACCTACACAATACAACCTACTGAGCAAAATGATGTCCAAAAATTTCTTTTCAACATCTTTGTCTCAAAAGTCGGACGTTGAAAAGACGTTCACTGAGGAACCAGAATGAAAGTTTTTATTACTTTTTTTTTTGACGTGTTCTGCTGCACGTCTGATATAGACGCTCATGGACCTTTTGGACAAGATTAAAAACTATGTCAAATGTGGCCATTGTAGACATTTTCAACATCATTTATGGTCTCATTTAAATATAATTTATACTGTGTCTTGACCAAATAAAAATACTCTCAGGATGCATTAAATTATAACTCATATTTATTTCAATGTAATTGCATAGCAACTCACAGACAGTTCGTGTTTGTCAAACATCTACAGAAGATCTTAGTGAGAATTAACAGAAGTTTAGATGTTGATATTTATAGTCACCATTGTGGTGATCATTGTTTGTTTTAGTTGCAACACCAACTTTTTGAACACCATCTTTCAAGAGCAAGCAGTATTGTGAATCCTGTATTGAACTTCAAGGTTTGAGAAACAGTCGTCAGTAAAATGAAGGGAACACAAGAGAAGTTTGGGATTATACTGCTGTGACGTTGTGGTAAAGTTTCATTCTGATTCTTTATGTGCTGTGTTCTCTGCTGTGTGTTTTGGTCCAGAATGTTCATATCGGTTCGTATCAAGTGTTATTTTATGTGTGAAGCTGAGTAGTTCATTATACATTATAACAGTATTCAATTAGAAAATTAAACTTCATTAGGCCTATAATAATTATAAAATTAGGACTAACAAAAGTTTAATAAATAATGTAAATTAAATGTGTTCATCTCTCTCTCTCTCTCTAGTGCATTTACATCAAGGTGGGAAAAGACTTTAATCATGACAAAAAAAAAAGATTATATCATACATAGTAAGTAATTTTAATTTTCTGGAGAAATCTGGTTATATCTACTGAGAGTTATGCTTCATTTTTTAGGTTGGTTGAAATCAGTTATGATCAGTAATCTTAAAATAAATGCATTTAGTTTCAACATTTCAACCAGTTATTGTAGATGAAATCACATGAAGTACATTTTCTTCGTTGAACTGACAAAACTTTTTTTAGTGTACATTACCTGCAGTCGTCACCGGTGTTACAGTTGAAGTGGCCAAGTACAGTCTTAAGACATCTAAAAAATAATTATGAATACAAATGAATCAACATGTTATATAGAACACAATGAAAAAGCAGTCAAATAAACATGCACTGTAAAAAATAAAATCGTAAAAAAAAGGGTCAAAGGACTGGCAGCAATGCCGTAAAAATAATTTATTTTTTTTAACAGAAACACAGTTATTTCACATATTTCCAGAAATTTTTATTAAGAAAAATGTAAGTGATGCATGATTTACTATGACTTAAAATCATGTAGTGTGAACAAGGCTTCACTGGTCATTACATCAGCTTACAGCAAAAAGCAAAAAACATGGTTTAGACTTACACAGAATCCCAGAGATGAGAGGATGAGCTTTTATAAAACCTGAAATATGAAGAACAAGTCAATAAAAACAACTGACAATTGCATTGGATTGAGTCTGAGAAAACTACATTCATCATCCGTTCACAGCTCATGAGGTTTTTGGAGCAACGAGAGCTAACCTTTAAACACAAGGAGATACTCACCTTTATGAAAGAAAGCCATTGTCAGTTTTGACAGTCCACTTTTTTGTTTATTCACAAACCAGTTTACAGGACGAGTTTCCTTTACAGTTAGAGAATATACAAATTAGACATTGCATTTACATAAACAATAATAATAAAAAAATCAAACAAACACAACTGTAAAACATTCCACAGCATTTGATTTTAAAACAGTTTTTGACGAGCATTATGCAATAAAGGATGAAAGAACTTGATCAATTTCTCATTCTACGAGGTAGCTATTGGCTAATTCATACGAATGACTGACCCCTGACCCCGCCCCTAAACCTACACTCTAAAAAGAGATTGTTGTGTCAGTTTTAACACATGTAGTGAGTGTGCTCAGGGACAACACATGTTGTGTCAAAGTTAACACAGTAAATAAATAAGTTATTTTAACACACAAATTGTGTCATTTTAAAAAATAAAGCAAAAGGGGCAGATGTAAAAATAATCATCATTTAATCAATAGTCGAGTACAGAATGCTGAACCTGAATCACTGACCTCAATTAGTCCTAATCTCTGACATAGATGTATATTGGTCATTATCATATCCAAGTAATTTAACAGCATAAAATCCCAATTTTTCAACTCAATCCAAAAGATTTCTTAAAAGTTGTTCTGACCAAAAGTCGTTAAATTAAATTTTGTTTGCACACACAGACATCAATAATCAGCCTGTGATTCACAGCAATGGTGACAATAATAAAGCACGTTGCAGTGCATTCTGGGTGCCACCAATTAAAACTCATTCATAGCTCCCATCATACATTGTATGAATAAATTATGATCTGAATATTCTAAGGAATATTCTTTTTGTCACCATTGTTGAGATTCATACACTGAATCTCTATGTTTGTGTTTGCCTGAAAGAGAGATTTCCCCCCCCCCCCCACAACTTTTAAGAAATAATTTAGATAATATTGAACAACCTGGAATTGATGGAATTGAAAATTTTTATGTTCTTGGAATGTTAGAAATCAACATTACTATAATGGTTGAATTTTTAATTTAAAATTATGTTTAAAGAACGTTTGAGGAACATTATACCTTTTAAAACACGTTCTTATAACTTCAAGAAAACTGGACATTTTTCACGTTCCCAGAACCAACACTGAATAATTAGAAAACGTTCTTATAACAAAATTCTGTTAGCTGGGTTAAAGCCCAAATTACTCAACTACAGTATAACTTAGTATTAACTCATATTAGTAGTACTATAACTACACACAAATCAATTTTACCTGTAACTACACACACATCAAAACATGTTTAGACATTAAGAGAGTGATGAGAATCATTGTGAGCAGAAAGAAGATCTTACCTGATATAACCTGATATACAGTGATCCTCACTCGACACGACTGATGAAAAAATTTGTATGTTGGCATGTTTATGGATAAGTTATCTCTTCATCATTCTCATGAGGAAATATTAACCCAAATCCACTGTTTTCCTTCCTCAAATTCAAATACAACTTTCCACACAATACACAGAAAAATACCCCATGTTAAATTATTCCTCAGAGTACATAATTTGTCCAACTACAGGGTTTTAAAATTAACACTGAAGCAGTGTTGAAGTTAATGAGATAATTAAGTGATCAATTAAGTGATGATTGATCATTATTGAAGACACCTGATGTTAACAAGCAGAATCACTTAAGGAAAGAGAAACACAAGACTTATGCTGCGTTCACACCGAACGCGAATAGCGCGTAAAATTCCTGCCTGACGCGTCTAGTTTGACGCTTGACCACTTTGTGTTAATTCGCGTGTCAAGAGTAAAACTGAGGCGCGTAAAAACAAAAATTTGAAGCGAAATTTACACGCGTGATGCGCGTCAGAATCGGAATCTGTTGGTGGCCATTTTTTTTATGTCGACCGAGCATTCATCGAAACGGTCACTGCTCTGTATTTACTCTGGAGAGCAGATCAGTGGCGTGGGGATCATCGTCGCCGTATATTTGTGTCCACCGGACCCTTCGGAGGTCAATCGTTTGGCGAGTTTCACCATTTGCTCGCTCCAGGAGCTGCGCTGGATGACGGCCGCTGTCAGCGGTACTTCCGCCTGTCCCGCGCCCAGTTTGATGACCTGTTGCCCCGCATCGGAGCGAAGATCACCCTCGCCCTCATCCATCTAATCTAGCTGTCATTTATTTTTGTTTTGATGATAAAAAGAGCCAGGAATTCGCGCCGCAGGAATTTTTACGCATCTTTGCATTGACTTAACATTGAAATCATTCGCGGCTGATGCGCTATTCGCGTCCGGTGTGAACGCACCATTACTGACTTTGAGCCGTTACACACATTTAGCCTGACTTCGTCATACTCAAATTGTAGTCAGAATGTGAGTCTGATACTGCTCCACAGGGCTTTATAGTATCTATATTTTATTGCATTATAGTTGTCAATAGAACTCAACTGCACCACACACACTGAAAGAAGTAGTAAAATAATGAGTGTTGCTTCTTTTAATTGGTCCTCCATGAATGCGACCAAAGGAGAAACAACGACCACAGGCTTTTCATTGCATCCCATCTTCTTAGCGACCATCGGAGCCAGCTGATAAATTAAACTTTTGCCGAAGGAAGGACGGCAAACACGTCTTTCCTATCAAAAAATGCACTGATTGCAGTTCTCTGTTCATCTTTTAAAATGAATGTGCTGTCGATTTCTTTTACAACAGACGTGATAGCAGAATCTATACTTCTCAATTCTCCAGCTGCAGTCATCTTTGAGGGAAACCAGTTCAACCCAAGTGCACTTTGATAACGTGTTATGTAAACATGTAACTGCAGATCATCTGTCCATCATCGTATAAAGCCCGCCCTGGCAATGTAATTGGCCCGAAGATTTCTGAACTGATCATAATAGGGGATTATCACGCTTCCGGGTTTCATTGGCGGGATTTGTCAACTTCTCAGCATGTCCACTTCTGACGCAGGTTAAACAATGGCCGAAACTATGGCTAGATGTCACTGCTCTGTTCCACTTTGTACATCTAACCAACATCGCCAACCCTACTTAAGTTTTCATGGATTCCCAACTGAATTGAGTGTAGGGAAGAAGAGGATTAAAGCGGTTCGCAGAGATGAAAGTCCAAACTTTAAAATAAAACAAGGTAGAGCGTTTGTTTGTTCAGGTAAAATACTGCATTATTGGCCCTTTACAGGGATTTTAATAGGTAAAAAGTAGTAGGTGAGTTATAATCAGTCAAATTTAATCCTCATGAATATAATTGACTAATTTCAGGGCAGAAATTACCTTTCAATTAATATGTAGAGGCTTTAATCACTTTTTGGCAGGTGAAATAGTACTGCATTATAATGGTTGTATTGGCCCTTTACAGGGATTTTAATAGGTAAAAAGTACTGGGTGAGTGATGTTTATTTGCATGTTACAGTGATGTGAATAAGTTTGGATACCCATGCTAAAGTTGCCTAAAATGAGGAATAAAAAATCATCTTTTGGATGTTGATCTTAATGCCTTAATTAAAAAAAAAATAGGAAAAAAATCTAACCTTTTAAGGACACCAATTTTCTTTGTGAATGAATAATGTCTCATAAATAAATAAATGTTCTTCCTTAAAATACAGGGTGCATAAGTCAGGGCACCCCTATGTTAAATTCCCAGTCAGGAAGATTTTTATTTTAAAGCCAGTTATTTCATGGATCCAGGATAATATGCATCCTGATAAAGTTCCCTTGGCCTTTGGGATTAAAATATCCCCACATCATCACACACCTTCCACCACACCTAGAGATTGGCATGGTTTTACTTCAGTTAGCCTAATAGCTTGTTTGATTTGCATTGAAAGATGATCTTATGGAAAGTACCCCATGCCAATCTCTAGGTGTGGTGAATGGTGTGTGATGATGTGGGGAAATTTTAATTCCAAAGGCCAAGGGAACTTTATCAGGATGCATATTATCCTGGATCCATGAAATAACTGGCTTTTAAAAATAAAAATTTGCCTGACTCTATGGGAATTTAACATAGGGGTGTTCTGACTTATGCACCCTGTATTTTAAGGAAAAAACATTTATTTATTTATGATACATTATTCATTCACAAAGAAAATATGTGTCCTTAAAGGTTGGAGTTTTCCTCATTTTTCTAATTGAGGCATTAAGATCAATATCCAAAAGATGATTTTTTATTCCTCTTTTTAGGGAACTTTAGCATGGGTGTCCAAACTTATTCACACCACTGTATGTATTTGCATGTTGATCCACATAAAAGCAACTGCATCACTCAAAAAAATGATGTGTTGGCTTTACTTTACTTTTTTTTGTAAACAGGTTCCACCGGTTCCACATAACTAGGTTTTGTTAAACAAACATAATTTGTCCATATAACTTCAACATCAAGCAGGAGAAAACCGGAATTTAAAGTCACCATTATGGAGATGAGTGTTTGTTTTCATTAACATTTCCACTCTGAAGAGAACAGAAAAAGAGACGACACAGTCTTCGATTAAATAAACTGAGGAGAAGACTTTAAATCTGAAGATATCAGCAGAGGAGGATTAAACAACTCCACAAACAGCATTACCAGCTTCACTTATTACTAACCAGACTAACTTTATTTCTGTCAGTCTTCTACAGAAGATTTTATTGAGAATTAACAGAGGTTTAACTCGGTTTCATTTGAAGTCACCATAACAGTGATGAGTGTTTCCATTAGACATGCTCTTTACTCTATTATATTTGATCTCTTTTGACTGCTGTGACAGTGTGTTTGTCAAACACATTTACAGTAACAAAATTGAATGGGATCAGGTGATGAAGGTTGCATGGTGACGGTTTTGTAATCATTACAAAAAAAGCCTCACTGATTCACTGTGGTATTTGAATTTAATAATTATTTCGACAAATTATTTTCAAAAAACAAAACCTGTAACTGCATCATGAGATCCAGCAATTTTATAACAATAAGTTAGTAGACTTTAACAAACAGGAGAACAAAAAAAAAAAACCAAAACAATTTATGATGATACACACAGACATCAACAATTAGCGTATGAAACTCAGCAATGGTGACAAACAGATCACCTCTGAACATAAGCTCATTATTTATTTATACACCAATGCATGATGGGAGCCATGGATGAGATTTGATTGGTGGCATCCAGAATACACTGCAAAAGGCTTTATAATTGTCACCATTGTTGAGATTCACAGGCTGATTCTTGATGTCTTAAAAAAACGTTGTATGTGATTGCATTTTCAGAAAAGATTTGGATTGCATTGTAAAAGTTACAAATATTATGATTTTCACGGATGGTGCTGCTATAATCAATAAAGTAAATTTAACTCAGATTTTGGGTTCTACTCTGGTTAAATGATTGCAAACTAATGATAATGTTAAAAATCAGCAAACACCATCAAACTACCTTTCTCTTTGTTCAGCTGGCTGTTGTAACTCAGTTACAGCAGCCAAACAAAAATCTGAAGTTAATGACTTAAGGGTCAAGAGCCCAACTAAAGCAAACACTGATCACCATAATGATAACATACCAATTCCGTTTTTCTCCTTCGGTGATTCGGCTTGTTATCATCAGGTGTCTTCAATAATGCTCAATCATCACTCAATTATTCACTTAAATATCTCATTAACTTTAACACTGCCTCAGTGTTCATTTAACACTCAGCTCAGAGTGTAACACTGGGGATTTTGCTGTGTAAGTTGTAAATTACACAAAATAAAAGCAATGCAGGTACGATTTGAATTCTATTCACCAGGAGCAGTTTCCATGTTTCATTAACAGTTCTTGTTAGTATTGTGTATTCACCAAGGTAACTGTCATGTCTATATTAACCCCTTAATGCCCCTATTTTTCTTTGAGTTATTTTTTATATATATATTTTTTAAATGACTGTAATGGCTCATGCCAACGTTGTATTAACAAAATAAATAAACCAATTAATAAATCACAATTACAATTACAACGGAATAATCTGCAATTAAGATTTTTGTCATAATCATGCAGGCCTAAGGTGAAGAAACCTTTTTATTATTTATTCATTTGATTTAGCAAATGTTCATGTTTCAATAAAACTACTTGTGACATGTCATATTTGGCTTTGACCGAACATTTGCTCTCACTTTGCAGAAAAAATATTTCGGGATATATTTTGTATATCAAAATTCAGCCTATATGACTTTTGGTCCATATCACCCAGCCCTAGTTGAGATGAAAACTCTTGTTCATTACATTTTACTTGCAACCACATGTATTCATTGTTGCAAAACTTGTTCTGCAGTTCGTTTGTTATCGTGATCAAAACCATTGATCTGAAGCTCAATGCTGACGCTGTCATGTAAATAGTTTTCTTATCAGCAATAAATATAACAATTTCTGATCAACCCATATCAATTGCTTAAAATAACATACTGGTTAAAGCATTTCAAGACTACCTGACCCTCTTCCGGGTTTAGGCCCGTCCCAGTCTGAGTACAGATACAGAGACAGATCATTCATATGGTTAGACAGATACAGATACAGATACAGATAATGCTGTACTCGCTCATCCCTACTAATAGCCTAACTGTTATAGTAACTTTAAATGAAACCTCTGTTAATTCTCAATAAAATCTTCTGTAGAAGTTTAACAGAAATAAAGTCAGTCTGGTTAGTAATAAGTGAAGCTGGTAATGCTGTTTTTGGAGTTGTTTAATCCTCCTCTGCTGAGATCTTCAGTTTTAATGTCTTCTTTTCTGTCTTTTCAAGACCGTGTCTGAAGTCAGTTGTAGTTCTTGTGTTTCTGTTCGTTTCTTTTTCTGTTCTCATCAGAGGAGTAAAGTTCATGTTCAGAAAGTAAAAGTCCTCCTCAGTATTTTGTTCCAATCACCTGAATTTGCTTAGGGGAGCGCAGGGCGCAACCTAACGCAGGGTTAAATGTAAAACGGACCGTTTACATAGTTTCTCAGGGACACACAGGTTGTGTTTACGCTATTTTTCTCTTGCTGCCAGAAGACGCGGTCTCCCGCGAATTTGCCGAAAGTTTTGATAATATTTCGTGAAGATACTGGAAAAAGAGTGTTTTGACACCATGAAAGTAAATTTTTTCATCATAGTTTTTTTTCGGTTTCTGAGTTGGGTGTATACGTTTCCAAATCTAACTTTATATTGCCTTAATCACTGTCTTGTTTGCTCAAACATAGCACCGTTTTGAAACATGTCCGCAATTCCTAGCGACTGTTAGCTAGGCTTAAAATATGTAATACACAGAGTGGTTCGTTGTAACACAGTGTTACAAACAAGCCGCCAAGTGTACAACGATAATCAAATGAAAACGGAGCCACACAACTTTTCAGGTTTGACTATTATTTATAAATTTAACTTTGTTGGACTTTCACAAACAATGTTGGAATTTAAAATGTTTAAAATTTAATTTACTATGCTTTGATCACTTGTTTATTTATTAAAAATATGGCCTGTTTTTAATGCAATAAACCCTTAAAATCTTTATTTTAAGCCCATTTTTATTATTATTATTACTGTTATTATTATTAATAATAATAATTTTACATGCAGCTGCCACACACAAATCTAATTCAATTGCAATTATAGTATTTTGTGATTTTATTTATTATTATTTATTGCAAAACTGTGCAGCTCTTTTCTATGTCTCTATCCATGATATTGATCCATAATAGAAGGATGATTGGATGAGGGATGGATGTATGGATATTTGTCTATACAGATGCACAAATAATATCAAACTATACAGATAAAATATTACTGAATTATGTGTGTTACACACAAGTGTTACAACTAACCCCTCTGTCTACTGTATTATAATTAACCCCGCATATGGGGTAAGTTGTAACATTTGCACTTCTGTCACTTTCAGTGCAACTGTACGAAAACGGTAGGTCCTAGAAAAAAAACTTTAAGTCTTCATTTGTAGCAGAGATGTGTATGTTGCTTGTGGAAAAAAAAAATATTCTAACCCAATTATTTTTTAATTAATTGAGCCAAAACCAAAAAGCGCTCTCCCCTATTAGCAGTTTTCAGTCAGGAGACAGAAGTCAGTTGAAATCAACCGTCCATCAGTTCATGGCTGGAAAAAACACATGGCAGGATTTCTACTTCTACTTTTTACACCTCTGCCGCTAGGTGGCAGTAGTGGTAATTTTTCTACCTCCTTCTTCTCTGCAGGTAAAGCCAGGTGAGGGCTCTCACCTCTTCTGATCACTGCTCGGTTGGGATTGTTCAAGGTAAAGATCTCCGCTGAAGGAAGGCATGTTTTCTGCTGGTTTGCTTTGTTTGTTGTTGATGTTCATTGCTGCTGCTGCTGTTTGGTTGTGGATCATTACCTAGCTTATTTTACTTATCCTCTCAGTAGCTAACCTGTTGTGATTTATCACAAAACTTACCCATTTTATCACTTTGTGTTGTTAAACGCTTGTTTAAATAATGTTATTATTGGCTGAACCCAACTGTTGAATGTTGATCTGATGTTTATGTATATCCATACCATCTGGTTACTTTAAATTCACTTTTTTTGTAACTCCAATAATGGGTGAAAGTAATTGGATTGAAGATTCATTATTTAATTTATTTCAAATCTTTTTTTTTTTTTAGATTTATTAGGTGCTTGGAAACATATTGAGAGTCTCTTAAGTGGAACAAATATTGCATTTGGTACCATTTTCTCAGCTGACTGGACTGAAAAACATTGTATTTGGAGCTGACGAAACATGTTTTTGAAAAAAAAAAGTATTTTTCCCCATGTACTGTTCAGAGATGGTGTAAATGTCCAGACAAATAACTTGTTTCAGGCTTGTAATGTAGAACATGTTGATTGTTCTAGGATGAGGAAAGTGGAGTGCATTGTTTTATATATTGCCATAGATAGCCTCTCCTTGGTTAGTGTTGAAGTGTAGGTTCTGATAGATTGGATCTGATTGGCTCTTTGACTTGATACTGGATTTCTGAATAGCGGCGTAGGATCTGTCATCAGGAGCGTGTGCATAAACACCGGTGGCCTGAATCACAAACACAAACTGTTATTCAATTGCTAATAAAGTAAAGTGGTTTATAAAGTAAGCAGAAGTTGTGTGTTTGTGGTGGCTCGGATCTTATGATGTTCCTGTGTGCCACTCACCGCCTCGTTGTGACGCTCATTGTATATAGATGTCGATGTAGCTGTAAAATATCCTGAAATAAAGCAAAGAATATGGATTCTTTTTTTCTGTGAAATTAACTTCCAATATATATAATTGTTATATTTGAATATTAACACACTTGATTGCTTGACCCTCTTTCTCCACTGACAAGTGACCAGTCCAACTGAAGATATGATCAACGTAACAACCAGTCCAGCAGAGGCATAGAGAATAAAATGCACAGGCACTGGGAATATATGGTGCAATTAAAAGTTCAAGTTAGATTTTCATGACACCTGTTTATTATATAGAGGACTTTTAGGTCATGACATTTTTATTCGCATAGTGACGAAAGAAATTGGGAACAGTTCGCATAACTTAAACAAGACATGTAAAATGTCAATGTATTTATAAAGGGGCTGCAACTCACCTGCATGTTTGCCAGCTGGACCAGATGATTTGACAAAACCTTTAAAAGGTGTAGACAACAACTTCTGTTAAGCCTTAAAGTGGACCTATCATTGCAAAATACACCTTTACATGGTGTTTGAACATAAACGTGTGTCCAGTGTGTAAAAAAACACCCTAAAATCATAAAAAAAAATCCACCCACTTCTTTCCAATTCGTACGAATTTTACGAGGTGGCTAATTCGTACGACCTCACTCGTACGAATTAGTACATATTTTACGAATTAGCCAATTCGTATGAATTCGTACGAATGACCTACCCCTGACCCCGCCCCTAAACATAACCGTCACGTGGGTTTAGACAAATCGTGCGAATTCGTACGAGTGAGGTTGTATGAATTAGTACGAATTAGCCACTTTTGAATCACTCGTACGAATTCATACGTATTGGTCGTGAGAGCGTAGCCATAACCAGTGTCTCAAAAGCTGTTCCAGTATACTGTGATGTCACAGTAGGACAAGTGTTGATTGGTGACGATCTCTTCCTTATTAGCATAGACCCCGCCCTGAGTGAGTCCGCCATGTTTATATCGTCGCTAGAGTAGCTAGTGATACAATTCTCAAAAAAATGGGTCAATACCTGTTCATCATCCACTTTTATACCCAGAACGTGTACACTCTAAAAAATGCTGGGTTGTTTTAACCCAAATATGGGTCAAATATGGACAAAATGTTTTTAATTTAATTTTTTAACTACACATTTGGGTTTGTCTATATTTGACCCAAAATTGGGTTAAACCAACCCAGCATTTTTTAGAGTGAGTATCAAAAATAGACGTCGATTTCGAGACTGTAAAAACTATGGACGCAACTTTCTGAAGAACGGGTTTGAGGCTGTTTATGGGGGGTATGGGTGGTGCCATACTGGAAAATCTTGGGAAATACAAAATACAAATGTTCAGAATAAAATATATAATATTCTGAATAATATATAATATATGAAAGGGTATTTTGAGCTGAAACTTAACAGACACACCGTGGACAAATGAGAGATTGAGGTAAGATAGAAATGCAGGCATTAAAATGTTTGTACCTGTTGATGTCAGTGAGTGAGCACTATCCTTAGTGCTTGAAGATGTGGAAACTGAGTGTCTTGGTGTAGTCGGTCTTATTTCAGCACCTGTCCATGGATTTGTTTGTGTTTCCGTCGTCTTAAGATGAGTCGCCTCTTCCAAGTTCTTTGTGTTGTCTGTTTGTAAGTTTTAGAGAAATGTCAAAGACACATCTGCATTTCTGGGATCATCCTAAATGTTGCTTAAATAACTTTCTTAGCCATTTAATATGAAACAAACAACCTTCATTTCTGTCTCACACAGGCAAAATTAGGCATAATAAGCTTGCCTGTTATTATTACCTACTGTTACATGGACTCTCTGGTATGTGTCGAATCCAAATCTCTGCACTCCACAGTAGTAAACCCCAGAGTCGGACTCCTGTAGATCAGCGATGGTCACGGTGAATGTTCCTGTCCCGGAATCTTCTAGTTTGTATCTCCCTTCAGGTGATCGGTCAGATTGAACTAAAACATCTCCGTATCCACAGGGATCTCTGCAGAAATACTTTATGTTGTTTGAAGCCATTATATGAGAACAAGAAATGATGACGTGTCTTCCGATATATCCCGGAATTTCACCAGTAGTTGAAGTCTTAAATTCTGTTTAAGGAAAATATGATTTTTTACGATCAGTTCCTCTTACTCTTCGGTTTCAGTTATTCAATTGCAAATGTCACTTACGGTTACACCTATTGTCTATTATTGTCAACATTATAATAGGAAGTGTGATGGCTTAACAACCACTGCATTTATTGACTGTGAATGTCAATGTATTATATTTACAGCACAAATTCAAACTGATATAATAGAGAAATAATATGTTCAGAGAAATTTGACTGAGCACATATTTATGACATTTAAATGTAAATATTTTAAAAACAGCAAAAACACCAGTGTTAAAATAACACTCGTGGGTGTTTATTTAAGACATAACTCAATAGTGTAAAAGTGTTAAAATGAGAGTCTTAAATGAACATTGAAGCAGTGTTAAAGTTAATGAGATAATTATTGAAGATACATGCAGTTTACAAGCACAATCACCAAAGGAGAAAATCACAATTTGAAGTCACCATTATGGTGATCAGGGTGTGCTTTGGGCTTTTGTCCCTTAACTTTTTAACAATAGCTTTTTGGGCTGCTGTAATGGAGTTGTAACAGCCAATAACAAACAAGCAAAGAGAATGATGTGTTAGTGGTGTTGGATATGTTTTGACATACTCATCATTTGACCCGAATCACAGAGCTAATATATTGCCTAATCTCTGACTGAGGTTTACTGATTACAGCATCCTTGTGATTCTACAGTATTATATCCAACATTTTCAATATAATCCAAAGAAATTCTTAAAATATGTTTTAAAAATGAATTAAGAATTAATTAAACACTGTTTTTTTTTTGTATTTCAGTGATTTTAGCTGCGCATATAAAAAATGTCTGGCTAGTTTGCATCATCTGATTGGCCTTTATAGCCTGTATTGGCTGACAACAATCGTACATCTTTTGAGAACTTACCCGACAGAAACATCCAGAGCCAGAGAACACTGAAGAACTTCATTTTGAGTAGGGATCCCATTATGGATGGTTTAGTCCAGTTTTAGCTTTCTAAGCTTTAATATTGATGTTAGGAGCTCTTTACCATCAAGAGCAATAGTAAACATGTATCTCTGTATCCTCCTGTGCACTCATTCTCACACATACGCTGGTTTCAAGACACCCACAGACTCCCATCCAGAAGCTGACCACTTCCTCTTGAGTAACTTTTGGTTTGAAATGACATTCCCCTTTTACGCAGGACCAGGGTCAGGTCCCAGAAAGCAGGAAACTATCAAAACTTGAATGTGTTTAGTAAACACCAAAGTGGTCAAACCTGAGTCAAACTGTCCAACTATAGCAAACACTGATCAAACATGCTCAATAAATTATCAACATCGAAACCTCCGTTAAACGGGTAGTTCAGTTTGAAATTAATTTTTGATATGTTTTAGCTTACCTCAAGGGCATTCAAGATGTAGGCGTCTTTGTTTCCACAGTATTTTCAGTTTTGATATATATATTTTTTTCAGGTCAAACCGTTCATGTCTATCAGTCATATAATAGAGGCCTATGGTCAACATCCTCAAAGAGCATGCACAGAGCAGAGAAGTCCAAATTAAACATGATTTAATGACTCGTGAATGTAAGCACACACTGATGGCCTAAGACACGAAACGAGCGGTTTCGTGTCTGTGAGAAAACGAACAGTATTTAGTTTTTAGTTTTACCTCTTGTAACCATGCCACGTCCAAGTGATCTGAGGACGCGGGCGCTTTGTGGCTGTGGTAACAAGAGGTAAAAAAACTAGGGATGTCCATATCCAATCAAGTGCGAGGCATCACCATCTCAGCGTGTCCGTTTTTATTTCGGCTCCCATGTTAACAAATTAGAACTTGCAGACTGCCGCTCGAAAAACGCGTGCATGCTAGAAATAGAGCCAACGCCTATTTTTCACGCAACACTCAAGCGTGTTGGAAGAGTTTCCAGGCAAAATAGAGTAGGAAAAGATGTTTACATGTTATTTTGTAAACTAATACATATTAATGAATTACATTTTGATGGTTGAAAGTCTAGGTTTTGACACAAATTCCGATATAAATATAATTTAAATTAATAATATAATTATTAATAATAAATAATAAATAATATAAATAAATAATATAATTTAAAATAAATAAATAAATGTAAATTTTCAAATATTGCATCTGTCAATATAGAACAAAATATTCTGAGGTCTTTTTTTGCTGTCAATACACCTGACAGTGTCTTTTTCAGTATATTTATGCTTACTTTTTTTTTTGAAATAGGCTCATTTTACCACTCCCCCAGAGTTAAACAGTTGGGTTTTACCGTTTTCGAATGTATTCAGCCGATTTACAGTTGGGTTTTACCGTTTTCGAATGTATTCAGCCGATTTTCTGATATTTAGAAGAATATCAGTAACCAGACTATCAGTAACCAGGAAAAAAATATACTATGGAAGTCAATGAGACCAGAAACTGTCTGGTTACTGATATTCTTCTAAATATCAGAAAATCGGCTGAATACATTCGAAAACGGTAAAACCCAACTGTTTAACTCTGGGGGAGTTGTAAAATGAGCCTATTTCCAAAAATTCGTATCCCTTCAACATTATAAGATTGATGACAACAACATTACCATAGCAAACTGTGAGATATGTAAACTTGGGATCTTAAGAGGTGGAAAGAAAAAGGCTACATTTAACTAAACAAACCTGATACGGCACGTCAAAAACAAACACCCAACACACAGCGAGTTTACCCAGGCAACCCAGCCGAAAGCGAGACAACAGGTATTTTTAGCTATACAAAACACTTTTCTCAGAAAATATTATGCTATGATATGCAAACAAACAGCCATGCAAAATATGATTATACAAACTATAGATAAACAAAAAGCTAGCAAAATAGATATAAAAATCCAACCTTTCACCTCTTGTGGTTATATGAGGAAGTTATAAAATAGTTGTCACCTACATGCATGTATTTATATATATACTTTTTAATACATCTTATTTTTGATCTTTGCTTAAAGGGGTCATGAATTGAGAAATATATATATATATATATATATATATATATATATATATATGAAGAGTTCAGAAGCAAAAGCCTCTAAGTGCCATTTTAAATTCTCTTCTAAAATAATCATTTTTATCAAGCTTGTATATTTAAATTCAGTAATTAACTTAAATGGCAATTCATAGGTAATCTTCATTGCCATTTAAGTGAAATTACTGAACTTAAATATACAAGCTTGATAAAAATTAACATTCTTGAAGAAAATTTCAAATGGCATTTAGAGGCTTTTGTATCTGAACTCTCTCTCTCTCTCTCTCTCTCTCTCTCTCTCTATATATATATATATATATATATATGTGTATATATATGTATGTATATATATATATATATATATATGTGTATATATATGTATGTATATATATATATATATATATATATATATATATATATATATATATATATATATATATATATATCCATAACGGTGACTTAAAAAGTCCGGTTTTCTCCTTCAGAGATTCTGCACTCAATTATTCACTCATTAATTATCTCGTATATAATACAATATTATATATGATAATATTATCATATATAATATAATATTATCTCATATAATTAATTATCTCATTAACTTTAACACTCTTCAGTGTTCATTTAACACTCTGGTCAGAGTTTATATAATTCTTACTTTAAAGTGTTAATTTAACACTGGGGATTTTGTAATCTCGCCCTCACGCTCAGTCATGGCGATATTGCGAGACAGCTTTTCACCCAACGGGAAATCTCGTCATGTTTTTGTCTCGCGAGATCTCGTGTCGCACCCCTACCTATTACCAATGTATGCTTATTAACATACTTTCAAACAACACAACCCTTTATTGCTTTTGATATTCGATAGATGCTCAGTTTTCCTGAAATTATGTAAATGATGTCTGATGAAAGCACAACGTTGCATGCCAGTTTTTGAATATGTGTGTTATTCTAGCCTGAATGCAAATGCATTTTCCTCGGAGGCAGTAGCCATCAGTTTACGGTTCAGAGGCTGATAGTAAGACATTATTTTCTCTTTAGAGGATTTTTAATGTGAATCCCTTTCAAGATCACAATGAACATCATTCTTCATTTAACAGGTGAGATCATTTATATTTTTTTTAGCTCAGGTTAAACAAAATACAAATGCTCATTTCAAATTGAATGAGCTAAATTATATTTAAAAAGAAATAAAATGGTTGCCCTTTTGTTGCTCTTTACCCACACTTGAATCCTGGCAAAAATCCCGTAGCCCTCAAACGGTATTCACTTTATAGCCCTTAATCCTGTAATTGTGGACAAATGTGGGCACAGAGGACTCAGGTGTGATCCTAATTTTTATTTATTATAAATGTTATATTACTGTCTTCGATAAAGTTTTGTCTATCCATTTATCGTGTTTTTTTTTTTATATTTTGGGGGTATTTTTGAATTTATTTACTTCAAAAAGTACCATATTTTCTATGTAAATTATTTCTATGTAAATTAATTACTATGTAGTTTTATTTTTTTATTTTTTTAACTACATTAAAATATCATTCCAAGTTCTTAGAGCTAAAACCTAAAGATGAAGTGACATTGCCGTCACCTGGTGTCTAATTTTGGCTTATTTTATAATGCTCTAAATTACAGTTTTCCCATTCATTTCTATGGGTGCCCATTTTTGACCCAAATACAAGATTAAGGAGTTTTTTCAGATCAAGGGAAGTATTTTTTAAAAAATAAATCAAAACTATTTTGCCCACATTTGTCCAGAATATGGTTTTAGGGTTAAATTTATCATTTAAAAAAAAGTGGAATAATGTTTATTGTAGAAAATATTGTCCTTAGATATATTATTAATTATTTATTTACAAAAATTGACAAACTTGCATACAATAAGAAAAATGTGAAGAAGCGCCTATTGGAAATTATTGCCAACTGTAAACGAAAGGAAAAAAAATGAAGAATAATGAAAACATATTATGAAAAATATTAAACATGGCACAAATTCTAGTTGTTTTATAGCTTTCTTATTTACAGATATTGAAACTGTATTGAAGTACAAATTCAATTCTTGTTTGAAGAACAAGCTGGTTTACGTTTTGTTACATTTATGCATATATTTACATTTAAGGATAAATGTCATTAATATAAAATCCAATAAGTTTTGTACAATAAACATTCCAGAAAGACTGAGCAAAAGGACACACCCAAAACAAATGGCCTACAGTTTCAGAAGAAGCTTCACAATAACAGCAGGATGTATCAATGGTACTTCTAAATTGCAGAAAAATAGATATTATATTAGGCTCTATTATATTAGAACTCTTTAGGCATAATCTTGTCAAAAGTGTCATTCTGTTATTCTCCAAGGAGTTCACACACATATACTTGAGTTTACATTACATTTAGCCATCCAATTAAACCCTGAGCTGAGTGTTAAATGAACACTGAAGCAGTGTTAAAGTTAATGAGATAATTAAGTGATGATTGAGCATTATTGAAGACACCTGATGTTAACAATCACTGAAGGAGAAAACCGGAAGTCACCATTATGGAGATGAGTGTTTGTTTTAGTTGCGTTCACATTATTAACTTTAGATTATGTTTGACTATACATGAGTTATAAAAGCCAGATGATCACATAGAAAAGGTGATTTGATGCCGTTGGTTGTGTCTTAATGTTATCATTATATGTTGAAACACGTCATCTCAAAACTTGTTCAGGTGGAACTAAGGATTGAATCACCAATCTTGTGGTTAGTAGACAACCTACATGAGTCACTTTTAAGTTTAGATTGCAGTACTACTGCTGTTGTAAAGCATACTATTTTCAGCCTTTTCAATGGAATCCAAATGATCAAATTAACAAAAAAGAAACTTCTAAAAAACAAATTAGTTTATGTAGGCACACACAGAGATCAAGAATCAGCCTGTGAATCTCAACAATGGTGACAATTATAAAGCATGTTGCATTGCATTCTCAATGCCACCATTCAAAACTCATTCATGGCTCCCATCATGCATTGCTGCGTGAATAAATAATGAGCTTATGTTCAGAGGTGATCTGTTTGTCACCATTGCTGAGATTCATACGCTAAATATTAATGTCTGTGTGTGCATGCATACAACATTTTTTTTTAATTTGATCAAGGCTAAAAAATGCATGCTCTACAATGGCCTTGCTACATGAAGTTACATGAACAAATGTAGTGTTTGTTTAACGAGACCAAGTTATGTGGAACCGGTGGAACCTGTTTACATAAAAACGTTAAGTAAAGCCAACACATCATTTTTTTTTGAGTGAGGAAAAAAAAACACTACATCCAGTGATTTTTCTCTCTCTAGTAATCAAAAACACGCTGTGGTTACTAAGATTTACAGTAATTGATGGATTTATCTCTCTAGCGCTGCAGCTGATGATAATCACAAGTAACGTCGCAATCCTACAATCTCAAGGAAACTGGGACTGCCCTCCTCTGGCGAACACAACCTGTGGAAATGCGACTAGTTATTTGGCGTGTGGTGGACAAAATGACTCTTGCACGGCCTATTCCTGCAACCTTCAGAGTGACGGCTGCTCCTGCATGGTCGGATCCTACAACTGCACCAGCGACTGTCGCTATGAAGTTTCTCCAGATATCTGCAAATACACTGCAAATTCCCGCTCCTGCCTGAGAGGTGTGTACAGCACTGTCCTCCGTGTGTACAGATTCTTTGTGTGTCATATGCCGTTTATATTCTAATTCGTCTCATTTTATTTTCCTTCCAGATTTTAAGATTTCAGAGAACTCCCAAGGGGTATTTGAGAACGATTCAAAAAGATGGTCTATAAATTACATGTAGCTAATACACTCTATAATTAATGTTTACTTTCTTTCGCCCATTCTGATGCAGTCAACTGCAGATGTCCTAGTGAATCTCATTGATCTGATTGCCAATATGACGGTTCAACTGTCTCCTGAAGTGAGTCACATTTCCTGGACCTGAAACAAGGGTCATTCTCAAAAAATGTTTTGAATTCAGCTCATTTGATCATGTTTGTTAACATCTTGATACTATTACCTGTAAATATTTTATATTTAGTTTTTATTTAATTTATTTCATGAATTAAGATTTTTTTTGTGATAATATCTGCTAAAAAAACAACTTACTGATATAATCAGAAAAATGCCCATTTTTCACAGACAAAGCTTAAGCCTAGTCCCAGAATAAAATGAATGGTTGAGATGTTGAAACTGTTTAACTTTGTCAGTTGAACAGCAGTAATGTTTTTTATTTTTTTATTTTTATTCCCAAGTCATATAAAAGCTACTTAAATGTCTTAATTGCACTAAGGTCTAAGTCCTGTCTGTGAAACGAGGCCTATTTCATTTATAATGTGTGATTCTATGGATATGCAAATTAGCCCTGCCTCCACTCACTCACACTGTTAGACCTTACCAGGTTTTTTACAGTAAAATACTGGCAACACTGTTGCCAGTAATTTACTGTAAAAATGCACTTAAACTCAAGTTAACTAAAAAATACAACTTATTAGTTTTAGTGCATTTTTACAGTAAATTACTGGCAACAGTGTTGCCAGTATTTTACTGTAAAAAACCTGGTAAGGTCTAACAGTGCACACCAGCTCAGAGATCCACTCATTTTGGCATTTCCGTCAAACATTTTTAAACGCAATGGCCTCAACAGTGCATTAAAATATGCGGATGTAAACAGCTAATAACATGTTTATTTGATTTAATGTAATTAATTTTATTAATGCAACACAATACCCATATGCATATTTGAACAGCCTCTTGTAACACTTAATGTAGAGACGATCATTATTCTTAATTTATATCATTATTTTCATTGAATTCATTTGCACAATTGTTAGACCTTGCACTATAAAGGTGCACTGTGTAATTTTTAGCGGCATCTAGTGGTGAGGTTGCGAATTGCAACTGACCGAAGATACGGTAGCTGACAGAAAGTGATGTCGTCGTCTGAGACAGCCAAGGCGGTAATCCGTTAACTAGAAGTTGAAGCCTCGCGAGAGCCGCCATTGTAGCAGAAGCGTTCCATTGACTTCCATTCATTTTGGCGTCACTTTGACAGCGAATAACTTTTCATCTGAGGCGTTTAAAGACTCCATTTGTCCAATTATTATTTCTAAAGGCACACGACAATGTATAAAATGCCATTACCTTGTATCTTACATGATGGCCCCGTAGAAGCAGAACGGACGCTCAAGTCACAACCGTAACTTTTATGTTCTAAAATCTATTTATGTCACTATTTGACTCAAAAGTCAAGGAGGTAGTTCATCACCATATTTTGAGATTGACCCATAGATTAGTTATTTCACCCTTTTGCCATAGAAATCATTTGCATTTTACAGGAGCCTCTCTGTGGTTTTTGATTAGATGGCGGGAGATTATTTGAAGATCATTGATGCGGTCCAGATAAATGTTTCAGACTTGGGCAGTAATGAAAATAAAGATAAAGATCAAATAGTGTCATATGGAAACAGATATCTGAACGCCTTTGAGAACCTGGTGTCTGCACTGGTGAGGCCAACAGAAACGCACGACTTGCAGAATATTACTCTCGCCAATACAGGTAAAGAGCCTTCCTGTTTGTACTTGTGTGTTTGACACATTTGAAAAACAAAGCTGTGATGATGTGTGCGTCATAGTCAAATGTTCTTCTGGAGAAGTCAGCTTTTCCTGTATGTTTTTATTTTTTTATAACTGCGTAATTGGTTCAAATCCAAATCTAAGACTTTTTTTTCCACTATAAAGAAAGCTTTTGTCAATTACAACTGACAGTCTTACTGGAACTAATTAACTTTTAGATTTAAAGATCTCAGGGCTGCATTATATATATATACATATATATATATATATATATATATTTATATATATATACATATATATATATATATATATATATATATATATATATATATATGAGTGTATGCTTTGTTTTCTTTCTTGTAGAAGTAAGAGTTCTTGCGGTTGGACCATATGCAAGTGTAAAAGAAATCCCTCCGATCCGTACAGAAAAAGCTCACATGGATATTGACCTTTTTGAGATTGCTGATAAGAACAGTCCAAGTATGTGAGAAGTATGAACAGTACAAATAAAAATACACATGTGAACATACCTAAAGTTGTTTGATTTTTTTTCCCCCTTTTTGTGCAAATTGATGTGACTCATTTTATGTTGGTCCGCCACACAGAATCAGCTGCTGTGACTTTCATGAGTTATAACAATATGGAGAATCTACTGAAGCCAGACTTCTTCAACACATTACATGACACGATTAAAACCATGATGTCCACTGTGATCTCAGCTACTCTTCCCAAAACCACCAACACTAAACTCACCAAACCAGTCAACTTCACCATTAAACACATCAGAGTGAGTTAATATTTATGACTCCTACAAGACACTGTTCTGATCTAGCAAGGTTTACTGTGAAGCCAGAAAAGATGTGTTGGAAAAACAAATTCTCTGACGTACAATGTTGTGTCTTCCCTGTGAAGGACTTCAACTCCAACGGTTCTCTGTCCTGTGTGTACTGGAATATCAGCGAGTGGATTGTAGATGGTTGTTCTGTTTTAAAGACCAACGGCAATTACACTGTGTGTTCGTGTGTTCATCTGTCCACATTCGCTCTCATCATGCAAACCAGCCGCCCATCAGAGGTACGAGAACATTTCTAGTGAGCATTGAAGAACAGCACAGATTTAGCACTCATGTTCTCTGACATGTTTTCTCAGAGCGACTCTCTGCTGGACCTGTTGAATTTGGTGTGTGTGACCGTGGGGTTGGTGTTCTTCAGTTTGGCCCTGTTGACCTTTGCCCTTTGTCAGTGGAGTCCTGGAGTGAATAATGTGGCTCGAATCAACCTCTGCATCAGTCTTCTGTCGGCTCACCTTCTGTTCCTGCTCACACAACAGTTCCTGAGACTCATACGCCGTCATCAGGTGAGAATGATGAAGGAGCTCTACAGCTCAGCACAGTCTCACTGAGAATCATCATAACCGTCTCTCATGATCTCCAGGTGTTGTGTGCCGTGATATCAGGAGTGCTGCACTTCCTCTTTCTCTCCGGCTTTGTGTGGATGTTCATTGAAGCTGTGCTGCTCTTCATCTGTGTGAAGAACCTATCACAGATCAGCTCCAAAAAGAGGGAGGTGCTTAGCAGTGGATTCCTGTGTGTGATTGGATATACGGTTGCTCTGGTTGTGGTGGCCGTGTCTGTCGGGCTGTTTCCTGGAGGATACGGTAGTGAACAGTGAGTTGTTGTTTAAAGTCAATTTGATTAGAAGCAAATACTGTAAGGCAGCTCTGGGCTTTTGTGACATCTCTGCCTTCTGATTAAATAACATTTTTACAAACACTGTACAAAAAACGAAATGAAAATAATAAAAACGTAAAAAACACCAGACATCTTATTTTTTTACAAATTCATTCAGTTCTTATATCGTGTTTCCTCTAAACAGCTGCTGGATTAAAATTGAAAAAGATTTTATTTGGAGTTTTCTGGGTCCTGTTTGTGTCATACTAGCAGTAAGCACATTTCTTATTTCTCGTGAATTTAATTAAAATTTAAAGGAAAACAAGGTGATTCACTTTTAGTTTCTACTTTTCAGTTAAACACGATTCTCTTCATCAACATCGTCATCAGTCTGAGTTCAACTCTCAAAAATCTGAACGCTGAAGTTTCACAGATGAAACAATCCAAGTAACAAACATTATAATTTGAACACTCCATAGGGAAAAAAAAGAGTCAATAAATACACATTAACTCTTTCTCTGCAGGATAATGACATTTAAAACACTGGCTCAGTTTGTGATTCTTGGTTGCTCCTGGATTCTGGGTTTCTTCACTCGTGACAAGAAGGAGCTGGAGATCCTCTTCCTGATCTTGAACTCCCAGCAGGGAACCTTCATCTTCCTGGTCTATTGTGTCCTCAATAATGAGGTCAGATATCACTCAATTTATCACCATATTCCATTCAAAACTGAATATGAAAGAATATTACAGTTGTTTTCATGAAGGTCCTGTTCTTATTTTGGCAATCTGTCCCAGCAAGCAGGAAACGTTCTCAGAACATTTGCTAACATTCCCTATTGGGTTAATGTTTTAAAGAAATGTTCAAAGAAAGTTTTAAGGATGTTTTCTCATTTCAAATAATGTTTCGGTCAAATGTAAACTAAGACATAACTGTAATATTTTGTGTCAATAGATTTAGATTTTTTTATTAAGACACACAGACATCAAGATTCAGCATGTGAATCTCAACAATGGTGACAATAATAAAGCATGTTGCAGTGCATTCTGGGTGCCACCAATCAAAACTCATTCATGGCTCCCATCATGCATTGCAGTTTGAATAAATTATGATCTGAACTGTCTTTTTCCTAATTAAATAGTTCATTTATCACCATTGTTGAGATTCATACATCCATGCTTGATGTCTGTTAGTACCTTCACATTAAAAAAAAAGATTTTATCAGAACAAGTTTAAAGAAATCCTTTGGAATATATTGAAAATTCTGGCTCTTATGCTGTAGAATCACTGTGATGGTGCAATCGACAATATAAATTTAAGTTAGAGATTAGGCTAGTTTGATGATTCAGGTAAAATTATGATTATGTCAAAACATAACCTCACCTTTTAAGATCACCTTTTCTCTTTGTTCATCTGGCAGGTAGAAGTCAGTTACAACAGTCAAACAAAATATAAATTTAAAAATGTAAGGACACACTGATCTCCATAATGGTGACTTAAAAATAGTGATTTTCTCCTTCATTGATTCTGCTTGTTTACATCAGGTGTCTTCAATACTGCTCAATCATCACTCAATTAATCACTTAATTATCTCATTAACTTTAACACTGGAGTTTTTGCTGTGTTACTTTTAGGAGAACATTCTGGGGCCCTGTTTACACGAGAACGCTCGCGGGTGAAAACGTAAAAATATTTTATCGGATGTGCCTTTCGTTTACACGGCGACGGCGTTTTGGGGGCTTAAAAATGCAAAAAAGTGAAACCACCCTCCAGAGTGGAAATCTTAAAAATGCTCCACCGCCACGTTCCCGTGTAAACGGTAAAAAGTCTGCTTGACAGTGAAGGTTGTATGCAGGCGTGCGGGCTTAGTGTTGTTGTAGTATGCACTCTTAGCCGCCTGGAGTGCATACTACATTGAATTTCACAGACTTATGCGTCACCATCTGCACGCGGATTTCACACCCAAAACGGTCGTCCAAACGCAGAATAAAAAGTGAAAAAACAACGCCACTTTTGCGTTTTCTCTTCAGATCGTTTCCCTGTAAACAGCCTGAGAACCAAAACAAAACTACCCACTGAAAACATTATTAGAACTTCATGGTAACGTTCCCAGAACGTTTTTAGAACAAAACGTTTCTAGAGAACATCAGAGGCAGATATTGTTGAAAAAATATAATAAAAATATCTTGAATTAAAAAGAAAATACTCTGCAATGCTGTCGACTTATGAATTTACACATTGTTTGTCTTAAAGTGTATTAAATCACACCACATAGACATATAAACAACATTAAATGATGGTTTATTAACAAAGTTTGGGAGGAACACGTTCAGTCACATCATTCCTACCAGCTGTCAACAATCAGTACTCAACATGTCTACCCCACCAGCAAAATGAGTTGAGGCCAATTTATATATATATATACACACACTCATTTGACTCCCCGTCTCCTCACACTAGCCTGGTTACTTTCCTAACAAGATATACGGGGCGAGTACTCAAACTATTTGCGATAATTTCTAAATGTTTATAAAAAAAATTTTTGCCAAATGACAGCGTTTCCATTAACCAATTTTATGCGACGAAAACCATTTTTTTTGTTCTGTCTTTTCTTCTCCTATCTGCTTCAAGGTCTTGATTGTGGTGTTTTCTTGTGGTTCTTCTGTCTTTTATGAGTTTAATAAAGAACTCTGACTCATCTTCAGTCCAAACACACCACGTCATCTAAGCCAGGGGACCTTTAAATGTGCAAAAACTGTTTTCATCTCAGTTTTGAAAAACATTTTTTTTTTTCGCATTGCCCGAAAACCACTTCATGTCATCATAAAGATTTTTGCAATATATGAGAGTTTTTGCGCAAAGCGATGTGTTTCCATTGGTCGTATTTGCGCTATTTAAATTTGCACAATCTGAAAGGTAATGGAAACGCAGCTTGTGTTTACTTCAGAAAGCCTCTTAAAACACTTTGTCTTGCCTGTTTATTAGAAAGAAATGCCATTGTGGTTCATGAGTTTCAGAGGTTAAATTGATGTCATGAAGTCACTCAGCTCCTCTCGTCTCATTCTTGTCCAGGTCAGAGAGCAGTACAGGAAGTTCTTCAGATGTCTTCGCTCTGGACGCAAAAAACACTGAGGACTACACCATCATCTTCAGGAAATAAAGTGCCATTACTATGCAGGTGGTGTTGTCACGTTTACAGCTTGTTTTCCCTTGTCTCATGGTTAAGGACTTTTATGTTGAAATATTTTTGTTCTATTGTTTCTGTGTTCACTTCCTGTGTTTAGTTCCTGCTTGCATTTGTTCCTTATTCTCTTATCTGTGTCTATAGACCTTATTCAGAGCAGCTGATGAAAATGACAGGTATGAAAGTGAGGCTGTGAGGGATAGACTTACCGTGTTTCCAATGGCATCCGCTGTAAAAAGCTGAATAAAGCGGCTAGATTACTTATAATTTTCCACAGCTTACATTGTCGGGATTTTTTGCCAACTGAAATTTCTTGGAAAGATATTTTTCCAGTGTTTCATGAGCAGAACAATCCGAAAACACATTAAATAACAGTACAGCCCATTGAAGAGATGTAAGTCTATCCCTCACAGCCTCGCTTTCATTCTCACTAAAAATCAAAGATGGCGCTGCCGTGAATAAGGCGTATAGCTACCCTCGTTTTTCACTATGGCCACTCATTGCCTTCAGCTGTTCCTCATTAACCCTCGGTTTACTTGTGTATTTATTCCCTGTGTTTTAGGTGGATTATGATGGTTGTTGTCTTTGCATGTTTTGTAAAGTTGTTACACTCTTGTTCCTTGCATCCTTTTCCTTTTCCGTTTTTTTGATGTGGATTGTCTTTATGTGTTTGGATTCGATGTTTCTGCATCAATTTGCTTCCCTGATGCTTCATTACAGATGTTATGATTACAGTAAAATACACAACACAATCAATGTTTTCGATGTTAAATGTAATCTCAGCAAATTTCTGCATATGGTAAAATAAAAATGTACCAGTCTTTTGATAAATAATTTAGAACTTCTAAATGGTATTGGTGTAGTGGATTTACCTTTATAACTAAACTATTAAAATAAGAACAGATATGTCAAAATCTGCATTGTCAAATGGCTTATATTTTTGTTTCTAAACGCGTGAATGAATAATGATTTTTGCTTTCGGTCAGGTTTTATTAAAAAAAAAAAAATGTTACAATGGAATGTCTTAATAAACAGTATGATATCAGTGTGTTTGTGAACATGTTTTTCCTGATTCCATAAAATACTATATATATTGTATATACACATTCAAGGACTTTAGGAGCACTATTAAGAGATGAATGGACTTGAAATCAGCTTCTCGCTGAAGTGAATCAGATGTTCCAGTGTTAAAGGGATACTCCAACCCAAAAAATTAAATTCTGTCATTACTCTCCCTCAAGTTGTTGCAAACCTGTATGAGTTTCTTTCTTCAGCTGAACACAAAGGAAGATATTTAGAAGAACAATTGTATGAGTATGATGTACATTAGCAGTAGTTTAACAACATTTCACTGGGGGAAGTGTAGCAATGTATGAAGCAGCACTCACAGAAATAACTCCCAAAACAAGCAGCTTTCTGGTAATTTATCAGCACAGCGAAATCATCTGATTTCACCCTCATGTGAATCTCTAGACTGTGTAGATTCCTATTGGACTACTGGAATGACTGGATTTTATTTATTTATTTATTTATTTTTTTGCACAAAATTCAATACAGGTCCTATTCTTACTTTGACAGTCTGGCATTTAGAGGGAAATGTCAGAGGCAGTTGTTTAATCTGTTACTATTCTTCCATTTCCTTCCTGTGACGGAATGTTCAAATCATCCAAAACTATTCAAATATTCAAATTTAAACAAAAACAGAATTATTTTAATCTGCTACATATATTATATTAAATCAGTTTATAAAGTTCCAATCCTTGATTCTGATTGGTCAAGAGCTGTGCTTTATTTACGATAAAACACGGCTATGACCGCTTCACCCAACGGTTCTATTTATCACTGCGCCCTTAGCAACACACTTAGCAACCACACATATCAACATAGGCTAAACATAGAAAGAAAAAAAAAACCCTTAAGAATTAAAAAGGCTAAAATGTTTAAAATAAATTTCGATTTACTAGGTGGCATGACAATGGATAAGTGGTTTGAGGAACAATTTGGAGAGACTTATACAAATACGAACCGTCATGTTGAAGTGCTGAAATGTAACAAACATTGACACATTCGAGAAGACTCGTAATGAAAAAAATACCGTGCAGCAAACCCAATGGGCAGTGAAATACTTCGGTGACTGGTGTAGTGAAAAGGGTTGCAGCATAGAATTTAAACAAATCACCAAGACGGAACTCAACGCGTATTTTTTTTCATTACGAGTCTTCTCGAATGTATTACATCTCAGCACTTCAGCATGACGGTTCGTATTTGTAGAAGTCTCTCCAAATTGTTCCTCAAACCACTTATCCATCGTCATGCCACCTAGTATAAATCGAAATTTACTTTAAACATTTTAGCCTTTTTAAATTATGTCTGTGAGTGGACATAAGTGTAAAAGTAAAGAGCTACTGGAGGCCAAACTTAAAACAAAGAAAGCACTGGAGTGACATTCTTGCTACACGCTGACAGCGCTGAGCCCCAACTAAAGAGGAGGTTAAATATCACCATAGTGGAGCCGATTGAAATGAGTCAAATATTTAATGCGTCCACAATAAACAGAGATGTTCAAATAAATTTAAATAAACAATAATAAATAAAGTATCTCTTGTTAGGCAGCATTTTAGCAACTAAATTAATAACTAGATTAAAGACCTAACTGTTATCTATCAAAATATGTGCCCTTGTGTTTTTTTTTTAATTTTATTTTATTTGTTAGTTTGCTGAGAGATAAGCTATGTGAGGAAATTTCACAAATTTTGTGTTGTAAAAAAATAAAAAGAATGAGACAAAGTTTGAGAATGGTTTGTTGTTTTTATTTGAGCTTTCCTGCATGTTACACATTGGAACGTTGTTGTTCACAGTCAGGGACTATATTTTTCTGGCGGAAAGAATGTTTTTATTGATTAAACTACATGAAAGTTGCACTAATACATTGTTTTTTTAATTTTATTATTGTGTGGCAACCGTTTTATAAAAGCAATAAGGTACGAGAGGCTGTGCTGTATCGTGAATAAGTGACGGCTGAAGTGCCCAGCCGTTACTTATTCACGATACAGCACAGCCTCTCGTACCTTATTGCTTACCTATATTTCACAGATTAAAATATGCAATTCACAAAAATTTCAGTTAATTAATCACTAATCATTCAAAAATAAATAGACAGAAATTCTGGTCTCAAAGTCTATATTTACTGTCAGTTAATCCATTTTTTGTTGCCTTTATAGTTATTACTGGATCTATTAATCAGAGTTTGAGGGATGGATGAGACTTGAAATGATTAATTTCAAGAAGAGAATGTTGGGAAGTTGAAAAAAAAAAAAAAAAGCCTAATGAATAATTACCAGCAGCTGCCATCGTTACAGCAACATCACAGTCTATTTGGAGTCCTTTGGCTAAAACTGATAAAAAACATATTATTGAATTTCACATAAGATGCTAGAAGGTCGCTAGACATGTGAGCTGTATTGTTGTGTAAATATTTTATTTAAATTTGATTATGACGACAGTGGACTTATGGGAAAGATGGACAGATAACTTCTCTATAAACATCTCAACACACACTATCTTGTTCAGTCAGTCGCGTCGGTGAGAATCACTGTTTGTCAGATTATATCAGGTAAGATCTTCTTTCTGCTCATAATGATCCTCATCAGTCTTTGTACATCAAACATGATGTGTGATCATGGACTGAGGGGTGATTTGGAGTAACTCTATTCATGTTCTGATTTTTAGAAATGTGGTTGAACTGAAAAAAAAAAATTGGCTGAAACTGCATATGTATACTAATACTCAATTTATAGTGTGTGATTTTAATATTGATATACTTGTATTAAATACACTCTGATTACTCTTAAACACTGAAAACAATAAATAGCACAAATATCATTAAGTATGTTTAAAAATTTCATTATTTGTGCTTCAAAATGTCTGTTATTAAATGTGTTACGCAGGTTCTTTGTAATTACTTGTGAACTTTATTAGCAATTTATGAGTAAAACTGTTTCTACAGTTTTTTCCAGTGCACATGTAGATCTTATATATATATAAGGAGTTCAGATGCAAAAGCCTCTAAGTGCCATTTGAAATTTTCTTCTAAAATTATCATTTTTATCAAGCTTGTATATTTAAGTAAAGTAATTTCACTTAAATAGCAATGAAGATTACCTATTAATTGTCATTTAAGTGAAATTACTGAACTTAAATACACAAGCTTGATAAAAACAAAAGAACAAAATTTCAAATGGCACTTAGAGGCTTTTGCATCTGAACTCTTCATATATATATATATATATATATATATATATATATATATATATATATATATATATATATATATATATATATATTAGTTTTTGACTCATAGTTTGTGATATGATTACATGATTATATGATATAATTTCTGCAATTAGTTTTGGTTTACTTTTTTGGAAATGTTCCTTCACTATTCAGATGCTCAACTTAATTTCTTAATTTAATAGACACTTTTCATTCATTTCAAACTATAAATGTTTAAAATTGTCATCTCTTTCAATATGTAAATTGATAAATTCAGTGGAAGTGTTTTGAAAACAGAGGGGACACAGACAGAAGTCATGCATCAATGCCAAATCTCATTTGTTTTTTTTCCTCCGAACCAAAAAAGAAAACTCGTCTTCCTGGCTTTTGAATAAAGGGAAATATCGGACTTCCAAAACTATCAATGGATTCCTCTCTTCATAAAGGTGATTTTTTTTTTCTTGTCATAATTAGCAAATAGTGGTTCATTCTGCCCAAAAATCCTTTATGAACTGCGATCAGATGATGAATGTAGTTTTCTCAAACTCTTAATTTCAGTAGGCTACAATCCAACACATTTTCAAATGTTATTTTTTTAAATTTATTTATTTGTTTTTTATTTTCAGGTTTCAAAAGAGGACTAACTATCATCTTTGTAATTCTGTGTAAGTATGGACTGTTTTTTGTTTTGTTTTTGTGGCTTCACATGTAAATGAATATACCAGTTCAGGAAACCTGTCCTAGACCGAGAGAAATCCCACTCCCAATCCAACCAGCATAACCATTTAAACGCTGAGAGAACAAGACTGGCAGGACTCTCTTGCTGAGACATGAGCTCCAAGAGATATTAAAGCAGCATTTCACCCATTGCAACATTAATCTTTATTGAAAGTGGATCAGATATGTAGTCGAATTTTTTTTAATTTGGTGCCCTCTTGACC